CGTTGTGACCGTGGCTCCGAGGAAGGTCAGTGACACCAGCAGGAAGCGGACAGCCGTGAGAACCGTGATAGAGGTGAGAACGAAATCATCGAGAATTTAAATCAGGTCACCGCTTGTCTGACTTGGCAAGTGAATACAACATGGCTAAGTCGACATTGTCAACATTGTGGGGGAGTCGGGGAGAGAAAGAAACAAATAAAAAGCAACTCATGTAGCAAAATGTGTGAACTTGTTAACCACAACGCACAGAGCCCAGAGCATCCACCAGAGGTTGGAAAGGTGCTGTGAATTTGGATAAACAAGAAACAACTCGATGACGGTAGCATGTGCCAGACAGCGATATTCCAGAAAGCTAAAGGCCTCGACAGTGATGTGAAGTCCTGGAAAAATGAACATAAGTGTGATTTTTGCCAATTTGGTTTTCCATGATTTCTTATGGGAAAAGCATTTGCAGTTCCCGAACCTTTGGTGTTTGAAGTGGAATGTGGAATGAATTGAGTTCGACAGCTGAGGTGCCTCTAGATGCACTTTTTGTTGTTGTCCTGTTTTCCCCCTTCAGTTACAGAAAGTTCAAATTTTGTTTGAAGATGTTTCTGAGAATTTCGTAACCTCAGATAATTTCGTAACCAGTCCTGGGAGGAGGGTCTGCTCCGAGAGCCCCCACTCAGAGGGGCCCGGGTCTGGGTGGCATCCCCTCCAGGCAGTTCCCTGGAGAGAGTTGTGGGTGGGCCTTCCCCCGCGCTTGCTTTTCCTCACGGAAGGATTTGTCTCTCCTTGTCCCCTACCAGTGCCTTCAAATGACTGGATACCCCAAGGGTCCCAGAGCAGTTCATTTGGGAATTACGTGTTTTAAAAGGAGGGCGGAGACGTTGACCGTGTTCATGGGCACAGCTCAGCATTTCCCAGCAGATGCATTCTCCTTGAGTTTTGGGGGCAGTCCAACCTCCGTCAAGCCCTTGCCTCACTCGCTGCCTCTTTTTCCTGCAGGGCAATAAAGCCAGAGGCCTGCAGGACCGTGCTGGAAGTGTGGATCTGGACAGCTCCTTGTCCAGCGCATTCAGTAACGCCAGCAAAGTAAGCACATTCCTCGTCTGAGGACACGCTGGAGAAGCCAGCACCCGGGCCTATCAAACAGCTGATGAAGCCCAATTCCTCCCCTCACAAAAAGTTTGGTAACTCCAGATTTCCTGGCAGGGGTCAGGGCTTGGTCCTGGAATTCTACCAACCCCCAAAAGTTGTACTTAAAAAGCAATCCCAACCCCTACTTCAAAAAAAAAAAAAGAAAAAAAAAAAGGCAAACCCACTGTCAGGGAGCTGATCTGACCCACCGGGACGTACCAGGTCGGAGTAGAACTGCTCCCGAGGGTTTCTGATGAGGCCGCCACTCTTTCAGGACCGTCAGAGCCTCGTCTTTCTTCCTTGGGGTGACTGCTGGGTTCGACCCACTGACCTGAGCTGTTAGCAACTCAGTGCGCCACCAAATACACTGTCCAGGGTTCCTCGCTTTAGATAACTAAAAAGCTAACTTGCTTCAGCGTAGCCAGTAGATTTTTTTCCCTCAAGTAAGTTTTCCGATCTTAAAAACCATTCAAATGGGGGGAAAACCTGCATTGTGGGCTCATAGATACAGAAAAGCATGAACTTGAATTTCTAGAACCGCACTACTAACTGGCTCTCCAATCGGAAGTTCAGAAGTAACACTGCTCCCTGTTCTTGTCAACCAGCGACTAAACTTCACCTCTCGCGTCTGCCAGGAAGCGCAGCTTGTGACCTTGCGTGAACCGCTGGTTCTCTCTGCTAACCACTGTGTCTGGGCCCTTGTCTGGTTTTGGCTTTCTAGAATGGCAAGCAGACTTAAATCTAGATTGTTTTAACGGTCTATCTTCCAGAAAGTGGGTTGGGACTTTATGTGGGGAGATGGGCCTTCCCTCCTGCAGGTGGGAGCATGAGGGGATTTTGTGGCAGCTCCTTACCTAGTGTGTGCTCTTCTCCGGACGCCTTCAGACACAGGTGGCTTTCAAAGCTGTAGACCTACAATAAGTACATTTCTCCTAGCACTAAGGAGGCATCCCCCTGGATCTGAGAATGCTTCCGTGAAAGCTTCCTTCAGCTGAAGAAGCAATGACAGGCAGACCCCGTTTTACTGCACCTTCCTGTGCGTTGAAGCTGCGGTGGACTTTTGTTGTTTATCAAACTAAAGGCCTGGTAGTGCTTCAAAGAGCACTTCTGTCGGCGCCACTATGCCAACAGCGTGTGCTCACCGCGTGTCTCTGTATCACGTGTTGGGGATTCTCACAGTATTTCATGCGTTGTCATAATGCGGTTACACACTCGACGGACTGCAGTCGAGTGTAAACACATTTTTATGGTACCGGGAAACAAAAACGCCTGTGACTCATTTTACCACAGCGTTGGCATCAGCTGCAGTGATCTGTCCCCAAACCCACCAGGTCTCTGAGGTATGCCTGCACCATTGGTTTACACGGGAACAACTCCTGAGTGTTCCCACACCTGAAAAATAGCCTACCAAGTCCTAGCAAGTAACACGCCCAGCCCAGAACACCACTAGCGTGTGGTCAGAGCAGGGAATGAGCAGACAAAGCCCTGGGCGTTGTCAAGCAGCAGTCGGGGCTGCGAGGGGCAGTTCCTGGGGAAGGAGCTGGGTCAGCCACCCTCCTGCTCGGCGCGCACGTGTGTGCGTGTGTGCGTGTGTGCGTGTATGAGACGTCTTTTCAGCAGCTTGCCGTAGGACAAACACTGAATGCTAGTTTCCCCTCCTGCTGCCCTTTTTCGTAACAGCAGCAGTCCTTAAAAGGATTGTTAGGCTAGCACAAACAGGCACGCATGTCAGGAAGTGGACAGAGGAAACGTTGGAAAGCCGGGTGGGTGGTGGGTGGGGGAGATGCTTGTGGGTCGCACACACATGCAAGTCCACCTGGGCGTGCATATGCAGAACTAGGGAATCAAAGCAATGCTATAAGACAAACCCCGAACGCACAGCCAGGAGAGCGGTGCGGACGCGGAGTCACCACGTAGGCCAGGGCAGAACTGCCCCTGCGGGTTTTCGAGACTGTAGCACATGACGGGAGTAGAAAGCCCTGGCTTTCTCTCTCGGGAGTGGCTGGTGGTTTTGAACTGCTGCCTCAACAGTTCGCATCCCCATTTGTAACCTCTATGCCACCAGGACTCCGTGTCAGACAATATTTGCTGTAAACAATGATTCCATAACTGCTCTCTTCTGTATTTTTAAAAATGCGTGGCAAGCTACTGAGTTGTCATCCTGGCCTACTATACAGGGTCTAGAGTGCAGTTTGAGAAAAGCCGCCTCACGGGGTGCGTCTCCACTTTGGTCATCCCTGGTTGGTACAGCCGGGTAACTTGTGGGGCTACCAACCCAGAGGCTCAGCTGCCTTTCCCAGGTGAGGAAATGGAGGCACAGGAAGTCGTTAAAGTGGTTTGTCTTGCTTCCCGGCAGTGAGTACCTGGAAAGAGATCTCCCGTCCTCTAAAGAATACTTCACCCACCGCCCTGGAGTCAGTTTCGATTTCACAGAAGGGTTTCCACACTTTAGGTCTTTTCAGGAGTAGCCAGCTCCCTCTGTTTCTGTGGAGCGGCTCCTGGGCTTGAACCACTGACTTCATGGCTGGCAGTCCAACGGTGACCTTTAGTGAGGCCACCAGGTCTCCTTAACATAGGATCGGATGTAGCCTTAACCCCGAGATGACCAATTTAGAGAGCTCACGCATTATAGAGATGAAAGAAGAACTTAATTTGTTGCAACAGTAGAAAACAGTGTCAATGGTTAGTGTGCATGAGTACTGAGTGATTGGGGTTGGAACAGACCCAGAGGTGCCTTGGGAGGGAGGGCTGGAAATTCACAACCCATGGAGCACATTCTACTGTGACAGCTGAGCCGGCACGGACTCAGTAGCCACTGGTTTTTATAAGCAGTACTAGAGAATTCAGTTCCTAGACAGGAATTTTTTCAGCCAAGTGGCATCTTGTGTTGGACAGTTGGGCTTTTTGCTGTATCCTTGTGTTTGGGGGGGTCCCTACCTGGCATGGCAGTCAGAAGATTAGTTTGCACGCCAAAATGTTTTCCTGCACTGGGGTGGCAGTCTCTGCTCTTGGATGCCAGCCATTGAGTGGCTTCTGACTCAGTGGCACCACAAAGGAGACCTGCCCTGCACGTCGGGGGTCCCTTGGCTGCAAATCTTCCTGAAGCGGATCCCTAGGCCTTGGCTCCCCTCCCCCCACCCCCTTGAGTCAGTGGTGGTGGATTTGAACCACTGACCTTTGGGTTAGCCGCTGAACACTTACCCATGGTTGCTAGGGCTCGTGGGATCAGGGATGCGGCGATTCCGTCACTTCCCCTGGAGATAGTTCTGACCTGCTGTCTGTTTGCCGCCAGGAGCCAGCGGTGTGTGAGAGAGAGGCCTTGCCCGTGCTGGAGAGCTCCTTCAGGCTCCTCGGCTCCTCAGATGACCTGTCCAGCGACTCCGAGAGCCACCTCTCCGAAGAGTCTGCTCAGCTCTCGCCCCAGCAGGGCTTCCGACAGCGAGCCAACACCCTGAGCCACTTCCCTCCGGAAAGGCAGGACCCTGTGGAGCCCGCCGAGGCGTCCCCAGCCGTCTCGCCAAGGAAACTTTTGAGGTACCACTCAGTGAGCACAGAGACGCCTCACGAGCCAAAGTAAGATTTGTTCAAGACATCGATTTACTGTATGAACAGCAGGGGCTGTATCTGGGACGAACCAGGCAGGTGCACCCCAGGCATGTTCTCTGGGTGGAAGAGAAACCCAAGGCAGGTTTTCAATTCTTGGCTTCAAGAAAGGAACCTTGGGTCAGGGGCGTGCCCTCCCCTCCCCGACTCTCAGGAAGCCCATAGATGCAAGAGGGACTGTCCCTTGTGCCAGTAACAAGTGCAAGTACCGAGTACATGTATGACGAGGAGACAGGTAAAGGGGAGCAGCAGTAGACTTAAGACGTGTCCATCATTATCCCCCCAACAATGCCAGCGACATGCTTGACATTGAAACTGAGATGCTAGCTCTGAGGAGAGGTAGCAAGATGGTGAGCGTGGTGCCAAACTTGTGCACAAACGTGCCCACCTAGTTAACGTGCACACTTGTGCAACACATACAGTGTGCCCAGGAAACCACGCACAAGGGGCTGCCTGGTTGGCAACACACCCGCTACACAATGCCACGTTATTTGTGTGGAGGCACAGCCGTCTGTTACTTTGGGAACCTGGAACAGAACTGCCCTGAGTGGAGCTGCGGTGAGATTGCAGAGCCGTGCGTGAGAGAGGTCCCGGAGACACCGTGATAGGGGTGTCTGGTGACCTTGGGTTCTGGCCCCAGTCCCGTCATGAATTAGTAGTGACCCGGGCACATTTGCTGTAGCCGGTCTGCATGACGAGACTGGAGTGGGTGTCGCCTAAAGTCTCTTCCGTGGTGGCAATTCCGAGTCTTCCTGTGGGAAAGAGTTGCGCTCTGAAGAGCAGCTGGGATTTTTCTGGCTAGAGAGCCGGGTCAGCCAACAGGCGTTCTTCTTGTTCCTTCTCAGTCCCTGCTGCGTGATTCATTTGACCCTTCTAGGTTCCAGAGACTACGGAGACAGACTGACCTTTTAAAATACCTTTTAAACACTCTTGGAAACTCCTCCCCTCACAAAGCAACATGAGCTAGGGCTGTGATGTCTGTATGCAGTCAGTGGACGCCATCGGGCGGACATCTGCGTCCATGCAGCTCACCCACGGGTAGTGGAGCGCCTGCTAGAGGCGTTTGAAGAGTTGAGAGTGAAGACGTGGAGCAGTAACAGTCCCGCCGCAGGGAGGTGGTCGCACCTCTCCCTTTCGCCCTCGCTCAGCCACTGGGGTAACTGCTGATGGGTCTGGACCACTGTGACCCCACAGCAGGACACTCTTTAGAAGCCAACTTTTAACAAGTGTGGCATTTCAGAGACAAGCAGGGCTTGGCTGACGTTTCCCAAGACTCTCTAGTAAAGCTGCTGCTATTTTGCTGTATTACCTGTGTCCCCCCTTCTACTACCAGTCTTCCCCAGGGTTGTGGGAACTCTTCCTCTCTGGAGAGGCCTCGTTCTCTCCTCTGCTGTTTCACACCAGCCAGACGTGGCAGGAAGTGAATTTCTCTGCTTTCCATGTCCCTGCTCTCCCAGGACTGCAGCTCCCTAACGGATCAGGATCACTCTCTCTCTCATCAGCATGATCCGTTCTACTGCCCACTGGTGAATACTTTTTTTGTTTCTGTTTTACCCACAAGAAACAAGACGTTGAGACTCAGGGCAGGATATTGTTCCTTTTCAAAGAGAGAGGTGCGTTCTGAAAATCTGGATTTTCTTACGCGCTCCTCTGCTTTCTGCTTTCGTCTGTCAGTTTTCCTCCTGTCAGTTCTCAGAAGGGGGCGCCGGTTGTCCCTGATCTATAGCTTATTTGGGTTACGACGGACCACGCGTGGAGTCTGCTGTTTAATGCTTGGTTCTTTTTCTTTTAATGGTGTCAACGAAGGACACGCCATGTTGAGACACATCGTTAGGCCTGTGTGTCATCTTTCCAACCCCAAAGACTCCTGGGTCCTATCTTTACAGTGAACCCTCGTTTATCGCGGTTAATCGGTTCTAGACCCTACCGTGATAAATGAAATTCCACGAAGTAGGATTCCTTATTTGTAAATCAAATATTTTCGTAGTTAGAGCATAGAGGACATGAAAAAACACCCGTTAGTCACCATTACACTCGTATTACCCAATTTATTAAACGAAAAAGGGAAAATACAGTAAAACATTTTGGACATTAAAATTATCATTTATTATTTATTATATTATTTATGGCATCTAGTTTACAGTATTACATATTTTACATACAGTATTATTATACATAGTTCTTACAAATACTGTAATCAATAGCCTATGAAATGACTTAAGGGATGTACTCTACAGGTGGGTCGCCGTCTTTTTCCTCTGAAGGAGCGGGGGTAGGCAGTGGGTGCTGTTACGCAAAAACCTACCGTGATAGAGTGAAGCCGCGGAAGTCGAAGCGCGAAGTGGCGAGGGTTCACTGTATATCGATAACGACAAGCAGTAATAAGTGAAAACTAACCTAACTAAATAAAAAGCCTATTGGGAAAAAAAAGCCTATTGGACTTCCCCCAAGTCTCTGGTGTGGAACCGCAGGAGGGGGGCATTGTCTCACAGCCCAGCTTTAGGATGGGAGCCACAACCACCTTTCAGCAGCGCCACCATTGCCAGACAGATGCTTGGGCCGCGGAGGAGAAGTGACACGTTTGGATGGAAATAAGGAGACAAGATCGGCCCCCCACCCTGTTTTCCTCCACTCTCTCTCCCCAGTAGACTGGCCAGCATGGCCCTGACCCCTCTAACCCTGCCGTGCTTTCTCTCGGATTGCTGTCTAGCCCGAACCCCCCGCCCGCCGACGAGGCCCCTGGCGGCGCAGGCCAGCCGCCAGCTCTCGCACCGCCACCTTGGCTTAGTCCCTCTGCCTCCTCGCCAAATGTTTTTAAGTGCCTAAAACATAACTCCAGTGGGGACCCCGGTGGCAATGCCGTGCCAAAGAGGTGAGCACCCTGCATGGCAAGCGCAGTGCCGGTCCTTTGTCTCCCCGGAAGGTCAGCCCGTGTGACACGCAGGGCGGGGTGCACGCTGCATGGAGGGCACGTCCCAGCGGTGGAGCTCGGGCAGCGGTGGAGCTGGGGCAGCGGTGGGCGCATGGGCACTTGGGTCTGCTTAGTTATGTCGTCCCTGGAGCGGACCTAATTTCACTCTTCCTGTTCGCCAACAAGCGTGGGATGACGGCAGGCGTTGAAGGTTAACAGCCACTCTTGTTAGATCGTGGGCGACTCCCACGGTTCACAGAGGTTGGGGGCTCTAGTTTACCCAGGGGCACCTGGTGATCTCCCGACACCCCCAGGCACTGAAAACCCTACTGGGCACAGTTCTACCCTGGCGCACGTGGGTCGCTGTGACCGGGAGTTGACCCGGTGGCTGTCGCATCCCCCAGAGTCTGTGCCATGTCAGAAACGTCTGCGGCCACACTGCTGCTCCCCAGGGAGAGTGGCTTGGAAGATGGACTTTTACTCCCCTCTTTTAATTTGAATCATTCCTTCATTGATTGATTTCCTGAATCTAAAACAATTTTATTGATCAATCTCAAAATCGGAAAACCATTTGAACATTGTGTCCCGTTTCTGACCTGGTTTGCTTTCCAGCACAAGAACGAAACAGTTCCTTTGGTGTTTGAAGTTTATGTTGTACATTTGGTGTGCTTACGTTTCTTTAGCCTAAACTCTCTTTTTCAACCACACTCTCAGCATCTCCTACCGTAATGCCCTGCGGAAAAAACTTCATTCTTCCTCCTCTGTGCCAAATTTCCTAAAATTTCTGGCTCCTGTAGATGAAAGTAACAGCTCTGACTTTCTGAACCCAAAAAGGTAGGGCTTGATTTAGACACACTAAGCCTAGATGTGATGATGTTTGAATGACTGATTGATATCCTGGGGCTTGAAAACGCCTTTTAAGCTGTTGTTTTGTCATTAAAGCAATCATTTTAACTGAAACTATTGTATTATCTTCCTTAAGTTTACTTCTTACTGGATGTGCTCCTCTTCAGTGTTGATGAGGATTAAGTTTGTTGATGTTGCTGTTGGTATCTTCAGAAGACTACACACCGAAAGTTTTAGCCGATTCATGAAAGTGGTACCCACCCGTGTTTTCTAATCCTGAGCATGTGACGACCTTAAATATGTGTCCCCTTATTGCCTGCTGTTGTTACATGTCCTTGAGTCCATTCTGACTCGGAGTGACCCCTAGATATACAGGGGAGCTCCAGGAAGGGGGGAGAAGAGCAGTGGCGCGAGGAACTCCCATGGGAAGCAGCCCCAGGCACTAGCCTCTCCTGTGCCACGTGCACAGCTTTTGATGTTGGTTGGAGCCCACTGCTGTAGTCCCGTATCGTTCCATGCCCTTGAGGGTCTTTCGAGCCTTGTGCACATATTCAGGTGTAAAGGACGAAGCTGCCCCGTGCTTAGGAACCCCGTGGATGATAGATCGTGTCTGCATAGGCAGATGGATGCCAGACTTTGTTCTGTCGTTTTGGAAAGGCAGTCGCTAACTGCCCTCTGCCAGCGGCTGTCCACTTGTGGCTTGGGTGGTCCCGTGTGTGACGGACCGCGAACCTCCCTCACTCCTGGGTGGCCAACCACTGTGGTGTCGGCCTGTGCTAGGAAACAGGCCCGTCCTCAGCCGAGGCCCCAGGGGCTGCTGATCACCTGTGGGCCTGATCTCTCTTCCTTCCCTGTTAGAAGTTCTCCTTCGAGGGGTGCCAGCCACAGTGAGCTGGACTTAAATCCAGCGATTACCTTATCACGTTTGTTCACACAGGGAAAAGAGAATGATACTTTGGTGCTTTGCTTAGGAAAAGAAGAAACCCATTCACGTCCCTCCACAGGTCCCAAGTCATGTGTCCTGTAATTTTAGGGATTTGGAACCCAAAGCAAACCACCCAGCGGATGCCAGTGGGACCCCCATGAAGACACGAAGGCATTCGTGGCGGCAGCAGATCTTCCTCCGAGTGGCCACCCCCCAGAAGGCGTGTGATTCTCCGAGCAGATATGAAGGTAAGGCTCCTGGCGCGGACCCGCTTGCTCCGGCCTGCGTGTTTCCCTGTGCCCGGAGTGCACTGGAGGGCCAGCTGTGGAGACGAGATTGCTGGCTCATCACCACCCACTGTTAGAAGGCTCCTTGAGCCCGGCACTGAGTGACAATGCCCAGAACAATTTCCAGAGGTGTGTCCCATGTTCCCGGTAAATCTGTGACAGGACAGAGTCGTTGGCAGCACCTGCGCTGAAGATGGTGCCTCCCCAGAGCTCGTGTGACCCACCTCTCACCCGCCCTGCCGTGGGGATGCCTGCGGAGTGCAGCTGGAGGTCGTCTCCCCTCCCCTACTTCTCTCGCTCCCTCCCCACTGCATTCCTGAGCTTGTCTGTTTTCTCTTCTCAGTCCGCCAGCCAAAGGTAGCTTTGCATGTGGCCTTTGACTTGGTGTGGCCAGAGGCACCCTCTAGCCACCCCTGTCATGCCCCTGCCTGGGTCTGTTGTGATCAGTCAGTCTGGGGTCATGGGAGGGGCTGCCTTGTGCTCTCACATCCCTCCTGCATCGTCGCCACCCCCCACCCCCACCCCCCCCCCCCCCCCCCCCCCCCCCCCCCCCCCCCCCGCCCCCACACACACACACACACACACACACACACACACACACAGAGCAGTGAGTTTGGCTGGTCTGTTGTTGTTTCTTAAGCCAAACCCACTGCCATTGAGTCAATCCCTGTCCATGGCAGTGACCCCACAGGACAGCGTGGCACCGCCCGTTGGGTTTCCAAGGCTGTGCCTCTTCACGGGCGCAGACTGCCACGTCTTTCTTCGGAAGACCGGCCAGGGCTCACACTGCCAACCTTTCCCTTAGCAGCGACCACTGGGCCATGGAGCCCCTGGGACTCCGGTATTGCATTGCTATAAGGAAATGAGAGTAGACGCAGCTCTCCTGACTGTAACTCGGCAGGTTTTCCCTGCCCAGTGGTGCCGTAAACTTCCAGCAATCATCCCCATAATGCTCTTTAACCCAAAGGGCAAAAAAGGAAGAAAATGCTCAATGTGAGTTAGCAGTAACTATAAAGAAGCCTTGGAGGCGTAGTGGTTACGTGTTGGGCTGCTAGCCACGAGGTGAGCAGTTGGACACCCCAGCTGCTTCTCGGGAGAAAGGTGAGGCTGTCTACTCCTGGAACCCGCTCCAGTCTCGGAAGCCCACCAGGGGCAGTTCCCCCTGCCCCACCGGGGGCCACAGTCAGAACTGACTCGATGGCAGGGGAAGTGGGTGAGAACGTCGTGACATCACTCATGCACCTCGCTTACTTTGTTCCTTCCGCTGTCAAGCGGTTACAGTGGGAGGGACTCTTTGCAGCCCCTGGAATCACGTGAAGTTAGGGGTGGGGAAGTGGGTTGAAGATGTGCTGTGAGAGCCTGATTTCTGTTAGTTTCATGGAAGCTGGAACCCCGGTGCCTGTTACCCATCTGGGCGCTGTGCCCAGTGGGGTTCTTGTCCACTGTGGATTCTGACGCATACCGACCTTGCAGGTCGAGTACGGCTTTCCAGGCTGTCGGCACTGTGGGAGCGGATTGCGAGTTTTTGTCTCCCATCGAGTTGCCGGTGGGTTTGCACCAGAAGGCTTACTTGATCAATTCTGTCTCCATTAAAAAGTAAAAACTCAGTATGTTGAATGATTTTAGAGATTTTCTTTTCATATCGTGGACTGTGTATTAAATTCCAACAGCCAGACTATAACCCCATTCCTGTGTACTTAAAAAACACACACACACAAAACAAACATGGGGTCGATTCTGACTCATTGCGACCCTACAGGGCAAGGTAGAACTGCTCCTGTGGGTCTCCGAGACTTTGACTCCATGGGAGTAGAAAGCCTCATCTTTCATCCATGGAATAGCTGGTGGTTTTGAACTCCTGACCTTGGGGTTAACAACCCAGTGTGAAGCCCATCAGGGTTTAGCTGCCTTCAGACACCCAACCACAGGAGTCTGCTGGGGTGGGGTGTGCCTGCAGGGAGCACCCAGCTTGTACGGTGTGCACCTAGAGCTTTCCGTTTCCACCTGCCCCTCCTGCGCTGTTCCGTCTGCCTGTGGAAAAGGGTCCTGGTTTTTGGAGAGACCCCTGGCATCCCCCGGTCAGTGCTCATCTGAGTGAGAAGAAGGCTAGTGAGCCCCTGGTTTAGAGTGGAGGAGAGGAGGGTGCTGTGTGCGGCCAGAGCCACCCAGCCGGCACGCGCCCACTGGGTGACGTGCCAGGAAAGGGGAGGAGGGGAAGCGAAAGTCTCCCTTGAGTCGATTCTGATTGGTGGCAACCCACGTGTGTCCAAGCAGCACCATGCTCCGTGGGCTGTTCGATGGCTGGTTTTTAGGAAGGAGCTAACTGGGCCTTTCTTCGGAGGCCCCTCTGGTTGGACCCCAGCCCCCAGTCTGTTGGTGAGCAGTGTTGGTAACTGTTTGCACCCCCGTAGGGAGGAGGAAGAGGCCAGGCCGGGCGGTTTGAGTGAACCTTACGAGCTGATGAGTTATTGCCTCAGTGGTTTGGATTCTTTGCTGTAGGGCCCTGACCTGAACCCCAAACCTTGAATGGCATGGGTCTGGGGGGAACTGAGAATGGGGGTGCTTGCTGTGGTCCAGCTCCCTTACTAGAAACACTACTCAAATAGGACCCAAATGGTCAGCTGCTAGAACCCCTCGAGGCTCGTCCTGGGATTGTGGGAAAGTAGAGCTGGCTGCCTCAGCATGGAGGACCTGGGGGGTCACAAAGCCCCCCTGAGGGCTTTGAGAGCTCATTGTGGGCCACCTCTTTCTCCGAAAACTGGAGCCAAGCTCCCTCCGGCTGCTGGCCAGAAGTAGAGATTTAGGAACCTGCCTTAGAATCCCAGCTTTTTCCTGTACGAACTAAGTAGGAACAACCTGTCCAAATTTCTCACCTGTAATATGCTATAAATTGTGCCGCTTGCCAGGGTAGGAGTCTTGGTAGCATATTGGTTATGTGTTGGGCTGGTACTTGCCAGGTCAGCAGTTTGAATCCACCACCACTCTGCAAGAGAAAGGCTTTCTATTCCCTTAAAGAGTTACAGACTCAGACTCACAGGGGCAGTTCTGCCCTGTCCTGATGAGTCATTGTGGGTCAGAATCAGCTGGATCGCAGTGCGTTGTCGTTGCCTTTTAAAATCATTTTATTGGGGGTTCTTACAGCTCTATAACATTCCATACATCAATCGTTCTAAGCATATTTGTACATATGTTGCCATCATTATTTTCCAAACATTTACTTTCTATTTGAGCCCTTGATATCAGCTTTTCTCCCACCCTCATGACCCCTTGATAACTGATACTTTTTTTTAATAACTGATAAATTTTTATTGCTTTCATGTCTTACACCAACCACTGTCTCCCTTCACCCACGTTTCTGTTGTTCATTCTTTGGGGGATGGTGGTGTTATATATTGATCACTGCGATCTGTTCCCCCTTCCACCCCATTGTTTTTGTTTTTAATGCCAAGCTGGTTGAGGTAAGATGCCATAAGGTCATTAAAAACAATCGTCATTGCATCAGTTCCAGCTCGGGGGGGACCCACAGGTATCAGAATAGTGAACCGTGCCCCATCACAGTTCATTAGTGGTGGCTTTTTGGAAGTAGATCACCAGGCCTTTCTTCCAAGGCACCTTGAGGCTGATATGAACCTCCAGCCTTTCGCTCAGCAGCTGAGTATGAACACTTTGCACCTCCCTGGGACTCCATAATGTCACCACTGATGTTTTATTTAAAAGGGATCAAAATGTGTTGAGTAGATTGGGATGAAAATAGAAAACATCAGCGTTTGCAGTGTTAAGCCAGCCCCTGTTGGGTGAAAGAACCCCTGTGCCTGCTGTCCTCTGTTTCTCTGGCCTTTAGTGCCCTGGTGGTGTGAGTGGTTGGGCTGCTAACCGCAAGGGTCACTGGTTCAAAACCAGCAGCCACTCCGTGGGAGAAAGATGAGGTTTTCCGCTCCCGTGGGAAGTTACAGTCTTGGAAAGCCATAGGTGCAGTTCTACCCTGTCTTGTAGGCTTGCTGTGCGTTGTAATCAGCTCGATGGCAGGGAGTGTGTGATCAGAAATGAAAGCCTCCAACTGTAGTGTTTCGGCCTCAGACACACCTGGTCGGCGGCGGCAGCAATAATTTGAAGACCTACACTGTATTTGTGTGTGACTGCCATGGTCTGTCACACTGCCTTCCTCCAGGGCCTGCTGGTTTGCCATCAGTGTTTCACAAGCCAGCAGAAGCCTCCATCGTGGGCAGGTTTCTGCAGAGCTTCCAGGGGAAGACTGACTAGGAAGAAAGGTTTGGCAATCAATCGACTTCTGAAAAACAGCCAACGAAAAGCCCGTAAGTCCACATCCAGGCGGACCAGAGCATGTACACTGGTACAGATACGAACTGAAAACACAGGGAATCCAGGACAGATAAACCCCTCAGGACCAACCATGAGAGTAGTGAAACCAGGAGGGTGGAGGGAAGGTGCAGTAGAAAGAGGGAACCGATCACAAGGATCTACATATAACCCCCTCCCTGGGGGACAGACAACAGAAAAGTGGGTGAGGGGAGACGTTGGACAGTGTAAGACATGACAACATGATAATTTATAAATTATCAAGGGTTTGTGAGGGAGTGGGGAGCGGGGAGGGAGGGGAAAAATGAGGAGATGATACCAAGGGCTCAAGTAGAAAATGTTTTGAGAATAAATGTGCTTGGCACAATGGATGTAGGTATGGATTGCGATAAGAGTTGTATGAGCCCCCAATAAAATGATTTAAAAAAGAAAGAAAAGCCCATAAGTCACAGGCGCATATTGCCCGACGAGCCTCCTAGGTTGGAAGGCTAGCAAAACACGCCGGAGGGGCGCAGTGCCTCCTGCTGGACAGGGGAACACCCCTGGTCTTGGAGCCGACTCCAGCCTCCTGGAGCAGCTCCCTGTGCAGGGCTGTCTTCTGGGCTGCCTGCGGGTCCGGCACACAACGAGGGAGCGTGGTTGGG